TAAGGACAACAAGAAGGGGTTCTTCAATTACATTAATAGCAAAAGGAAGACCAGGGAAAATGTGGGCCCATTGATGAATGGGATGGGTGTCCTGGTAATGAAGAATACAGAGAAGGAAGATTTATTGAATGCCTTCTTTGCTTCAGTCTTTCCTGCTAAGGCCAGCCCTCAGGAATCCATGACCCTGGAGACAAGAGAGGAAGGCTGGAGAAAGGAAGACTTTCCCTGGGTCGAGGAGGATCAGGTTAGAGATCATTTAGGCAAACCTGACATCCACAAGTCCATGGGCCCTGATGGGATGCACCCATGAGTGCTGAGGGAGCTGGCAGATGTTATTGCTAGGCCACTCTTCACCACCTTTGAAAGGTCCTGGAGAACAGGAGAGGTGCCTGAGGCCTGGAAGAAAGCCAAGTCACTCCAGTCTTCCAAAAGGGCAAGAAGCAGGAGCCAGGAAACTACAGGCCTGTCAACCTCACCTCCATCCCTGGAAAGGTGATGGAACAGCTCATCCTGGAGGCCATCTCTAAGCACGTGGAGGACAAGAAGGTGATCAGGAGTAGTCAGCATGGATTCATGTAGGTGTAGCTGAAAGTACCACTGTATCTAAGTTATTACTTAAAATATTTGTTGCAACCCTGAAATCTAGAAGACAGCTACACGCAGGTTTATCACCTCAGATCAGCACTGACCTAATAAGCACCTTTGTGTATGCATGAAAAACAATAAAGGTAACTATGCAAGCATAAAGATACTAGGTTGCCTGCATTGGTTCTCAATATTTTTTTTTAATTTTTCTTGGAAAAATTTTATGTCCTATTTCACTGCTAGGACACAACTTCTGTGAGGACCAGCTTAGAGAAAGTGGGAATACTACAGCTCAGTAAAGTGAGAAAGTTAATCCATTGAGCAATGAAGTGATATCCAAAGGTAGTAAAAAGCAAAGAACTTGTGCTAAGATATTCTGTGACACATAGATGCACTTTTTGGTTAAGAATGGCATGGGTGTTTTGATAAAAATTCTATTACAGTTTTGCGCGGCAGAGACCGTTAGAAAAATAAATATGGTAATTGCTGAGGATATTTCCTGCTTCTTCCAGAAAGGGTGAGAAAGGGAAGAAGGCCTTTTTGTTTAAAAATGACCCAGGTAGAAAGCCTTTCTTGTTTTTCCTTTCTTTTTATTTGAACTTGTAGAGTATTCTATTAAAGAGACATTTTTCATTAAAATAGTGTATAAATATTTTATTTAATGAACTTGTCACCTTGAGGCTTGGCTTCAGTACATATGAACCATTTTCTCTCTTGTTTCCTTACCAAAAATCTTGGTGAGCTGAATGAATTTCACAACCCCTAAGGAGATTCCTTTGTACAAGTTCAAAAACAGAAATGTCAGATGTTCTCTTCACGTGTGTGTTTCTAGATGTGATTGAATACTTTGGGTCAGACTTTGGACCTGGATGTTCCTTTAGGCAGAAATATTGAAGAAACCTCTGCTGTACATTGCCAAACTTCTGGCAACTAAAAATTGAGCTGTCAGCTTCCGGTTGCTAATCCATTAATTTTTTCAAAAGGTGAGGGTTACTGTTGACAAGCAATAGAGCACCATGGGACAAACAACCAGAAGGAGAGGTTTGCATATTTTAAAAAAATGAGAAGAAAATTTCTTAGCGCTTTTTGGCTGCAGTCTTAGTTGTTTTGGAAAGGGGAAGAAAAACCTTTATTTTGTAAAATGGCTGCATTGTAGTCTACGTTTGCATTGCCTTTGCTACAGAAGAAGCATTTGTTTAGCAGATATGCAGGTCTTCTGTAATTACCCTTCTGGACATAAAACGCCCTGGAGGTAGAAGAGGAAAAGCCTCTCTTCTGCCTAACCTATGGCGCTCTCTGAAATCCAATCGATCCTTACTGTGAAGAGTAGCCTCCTGGCTATACAAAAACCTTTCACCTAGCATCTTTCTCTGAAGATAACTTACTTGGGAAGGATTCATAACTTCTGATACAATCTTCTTGTCTTCAGGTTCAGATCAATAGCCCAAAGCAAGTCATTTGAGATGAAGTTACAAAATTAATCCTGAAGAATATGAGAAAAAAAGGTTATTAGGTTAAAATGAATCAAATTGAATCCATGCTATTGTTTAAAAAAAAAAAAAGAGCAAGAGAGAGAAAAAACAACTTTCAATTTTTGATATTATCTCTCATCCACCTCTTGCTGCCAACACAGAGCAGGTACCTGGAGTTCAGGTACCTGGAGTGCCCTGTCTTTTCTGCTCAGATGTTCAACTTTATTTTTTATGTCAATTTACTGCATACATTGGTGACAGAGGGAACATATCCACCTAGCTGATGCTGAAGGTAGGAGTGATTTCTGAGGAGAGAGATGTGTACGGGATTATAATGCAAAAAACATGCAAAGTGTTTTTTGCATGTGAGAAGTGCCAGGCAATTTGGGGGTACTGCAGGTGATCATTATGTTATTGATTCCCAGATAAAGTTGGTCAGGATATTAGAGGTGATTTAATCTTGAGTTTTGTGTCTGCAGTGTTAGAGAAGGAAATGCATCTGAGTGACCTTCGCTCCGGTAATTTTTCCCATGGGAACAGAGATTGGGAACAGGTAGGGTTTTCAGGTTTGTGTTAAGCTTTTGCAGGATTCGGATCCCAAGGCTTAGTTCTCTGACAATACTATATGCATGACATCTGCTTTCATTTGGGTCTTTTAGGGGTAAAGAGGCCCCAAAGTTCTTGTCTGTGGGAGACAGATGACCAGTGGTATCAGGGCAGTAAATCTTTCCCTGTTTTGCAGAGTCATTGGACACCGAGATTCTGTAAGAGGGGTATTGATGCTGGTCAGACATCTCACCTCAAGCAAAATACACATAATATACCCATTGCTTTTGAAATGGTTAACCAATTTCAGGGGCTCAATTTTTATTAGTATTATTGGTTTGTTTATTATTTTATATTAGTGTCAAAGTGAAGCACATTTCTAGGAAGAAAAATCTGTTTTTAGCAGCAATTGTATCTATTGTAGTGAAACCTGACATTATTTGCCAAAATCAGCTATATCAAAAAGACATGTCAACTACGTCTTGAAGTTGGGAAGGAAAATCCAATATAAATGTTATTTCATAGTAACCTATTACTTCATAATTCACAGCTGAAGGCAGGACACTAGGTTTGATACGTACCCACATAAATCACTGGCTTGTTCCACTGTGTTGCTAAATTGCAGACAATAATAGTTGATAGTCAGTTATTGTACCATAACTTAGAATACAGACCAGATTTAAAGTAGCCATCAGGGAGATTATATCTTTGCCATTCTAGGACGGCTTATGAAACAGGGTGAGGTCCATTCTTATCCTGAAGATGATTGCTCTAAGCAAAGTACGAGAGTTACAGAACGGTTACAGAAGAATGGTGATTTTTCTCTTGTTTTTGCTATCGTTACTCAATTACAGCAGTGTGCTGAAAATTACATTATACTGAGATCAGATAGGACTCAACTAACACTTGTTACTTAAGCTTCTGACAAGTCCCTATGAAATTATCATGTTTTTCTTCAGTGGAAGAAGGAAGCAGAGCTAAGCAGAGCTTTAGTAAAATCAAAGCAGGGGTTTTCCCCAAAGCTTCAGTCTTGCTTACCGCTGTCCTCTCAAATGCATCTTTTATTATCCATTATTATTTATCCATTCAAGAGGATAGTTCTTTGAAACTCTGAATTAATTATCACTCAAATTAATTAATTCCTATTGTTACAGAAAGTTTTACCAAACTTTTATCAGGATCTTGCACCTGGTTACTAACTAAAAGAATTCAAGCAAGAAAGTGTAGTAGTGTTCTTACTGAACAAAAATACTACTTAATAGAGCGAAAATATATTTTTTTTTCTTTTTCTTTCTGAACAACATGGCTGCTTCTTCATGGCTTCTCTGAGAAGTTAGAACATACCAGCAAACTCGAGTTTAATTCAGTTGCATCAAACAAATTCCCCAGACCCAACTTTTGCCTGCCTGTATTTCTATAGAGTGTAATCCTACCTTTCCCCTGAGAACCTCAAAAATGAGATAAGAATACTCAATATTCTGCCATCTTCAGAAAATCCAGCTTACACATTCACAGGGAAAATCTGTGCTTTCAAAGTTTATGGAATTCTGTTTTGCTCATTGACCTTGCATGTTACTTCAGATACTGATTTCCTTTGCACTTCCAATGTCATCCTGATCTTGCAGAGCTACGTGCACATTTGTATAGCTCCTGGCCTGTTCCGGGTCACTGTTGCATTCTGATCCCCAAAGGCTTGTTTGAGGTGCGTTTGGTTGTTGAACAGAAGCTGGGTAGGTGTTTGTCCGTTCCATTTACAGGATCTAACAGAGAGTGTAACAAAACTTAATTTTTTTTTTTTTGGAAGTATTGAAAGTCAGAGAACTTAGAATCAGTGTGGGATTAAAGCCGACAGAATTTTCTCTGTGACAATAATTTTGCTATGTAAAGCAATTTATCTCCTATCTCCCGGTGTGCACACGTATCAGGAAGGATATTATTTCAGATACTGAAACTCTACTGACTCTGCTTCTATTGAAACAGAACTGCATATAACTGAGCTTGCAGTTTTTCAGTCACTATTGTATTCTTTACTGCCCATCAAAGAGCTGTGTACTACTGCTATACGCTGTTTCAATTTTGTTTCTCATCCAAGAAGTAGTTGAATATCAGTACTTATTGCATATGGTCTGTAAGGCTGTTTAAGAACTTTGTGCTTGATATGTAGCATGCAAACAGTTGTAACGTACATAACATTTATGTTTCTTTTTTCCTTTTACTGAAAGGTCTGCGCACTTCGGATCTCCCAACAAGCAGCCCTCCTCTTCCTCCTGATTTCTCTGCTTGGAACTTGACCTGGATCATGAAAGATACATCCCCTTTCTCCTCCCATAGAGGACGACATAGTAAGTAGAGTTGATGTTATCCTCAAGAGGCTGTAACTAAATGCTTAATGACACTGGTATAGTTGTGGATCAAAACAATAGAAGTCAAATGTTTCATGCTAAAATATCCCTGGTGTCATGGCTTTGAGGCCCCCAGCTGCCCTATGGGTGCCTTGCCCCCTCGCTCGGGCTAGTGAAGCCCCTGCCCTGCCAGCCCAGGCATCCCCCGTGGCTCCTGGCCACCAGGGACCCTACAGCACCCTGACACGTGGTTTTCAACTCTCAAAGCAGGAATTATCTTAGGGAGCCCAGAGCTGGTATTAGCAAGCCAAGTTGCTGAACTAAATTTACAACAAAGTAAAGCTACAAAACAAGCTCCCAGACTGTAACATTTGGGTGGTGTATTTGAAGTTGGTGATATTGTAAAGAGAGGAAGCATGTACAAAACTCATTTTTTCTTGCCATATCTTTTCTTAACACTCATCCTTTCCAAAATCTGGGGTTCTGTTTTCATCTGTTCTCTGGTAAGACCTATTTATTGACTAAACCATAGCCATACTACTGTGAAATAGTATGATCATAGTTAGAACCAGATTGCATAAGGCAATATCTAACATGCAATCCAGAAAGTGACTGAAGTGGAATATATCTACTACCAGTCTCTATGAGAGGAGATAAGGTGCTGAGAGGCTAATAAGATTTACTCACCCCAAGCCTGTAATTATCTGCTTGAGGGAAAAGTTTGACCTACCTGTATGAAGGAGCCCCATATTTCTTCAAATTTATGTTGCAGCCCTTTATGTGCGCAATATATATTCTTTCCACTGGCATACAATATCTGCTTCTAGCTGTTGTATCTGCTTGAACGATGAGGACACACCCATTCCATCTTGGAAGGGACTGTAGCACAATCTTTTTCCCTACCTTGGCTTTCTCAGAAGTTGCAAGGATGATTTTTAATTTATCCTTTATTACTTCTTCCTAAACTCTTTACATTTCTCAGAAATACCATGCTAAGGGAAGGCGATGTTCTTAAAACCTTAAAAGCATTGATTCCATCTGACAGCATCACATAGAGATAAATGTGCTGCATCAAAGCAGAAATGATTTATGATGATTTTAGCTTGTTGCACAGGACCAAATTCTACCGTATTCCAACTGTCTGTTTTGCAAGGAAAGGCAGGAATTTGTTCATGTGTTACGCAAAATATAGTCTTCCCTCAATGCTTCAAAATTGCATAAGTATATATACGACTGTGCTTTATGTTCTCTTTTTAAGAAGTCCCACAACACTTAACTAGTTTAGTTCTTACTTTAGAAGATGCCAGTTTACAGTTCTAGGCTGTTCTCTCTCTCTCAAGAGGTGTATGCATCCTCTCAAGAGGACATGCACCTTGGGAAGAGTAGGGAATCCTGAAGAGGGGCAGGATTGGTTTGTTTTCTGTTAGCTTTTCACCTTAAGGTTTCCAAGGTTGGCAGAATCTGCTCTAAATTGCAGGGGCAGCCATGGCCCTTGTAATGCTTTTTAGACTGGAGCACCCCACAGCATCATTAGGCAGACATGCTTCCTGCTGCTTCAGACATGCACTGTGCGGAGGACTGATGTGAGTTGATGGAGTAGAGCCACTTTTTCCGCTTCAAGATTACCCAAGGGAATAGCTCTCCTTAAAAAGGATTCTCCACAGGTGAGGGTGGTAAAGGTGGCAAAACCTTTCTCATCATCACATCCTACCTGCCTGAGGAATCTGGGAGCAGTTTTGCAATGCAACAAAAGGAGTCTTTGGTATCCTGATCTAAGAGATCACCTCTCTCTCAAGGTCTATTCCACAGCAGGGGTTGTTAGCTTGCACACAGCACTGCACCTCATGTGATTTCCAAATCAGGCCACAGACCAGGCAAAGCTCACTTTCGGTGAGCCCAACAGGCAATGCAATCTTACCCCAAGTGCCCTAATCAACTTCCCTAGGAATCTAGCATTCTGTTTCCCCGTCTGTCCAGAACTACTATAAGCGTGACAGGGAGTCACGCAGTGTCTTTTGGCAGCTGATGTCTTTATTGGCTCTGGATCTAAACATCTCTCTTAAGATCATATAGGGTGCCCAGCAGGGCAAGGCAAGAGATCAAAGTTAGATCATCCTAGCTCTAGGCTAGTAACTTTGTCACAGGCCCACCCCTGCCTTCTGATTCAGTGGTTAATCCAAAATCACACAGTAAATCATTAGCAGATATAAAGCCCAAGTCCTTTACAGTAGAGTGTTTTTTGTCAGAAGCTTTCCTCACCACTTGCAGTGTGACTGAGATTACTAGTGAGGGCTCAATAAAACTTCTATTAAAACTTTGTTTGCCTAATCATCTGATGGGACCCATCTAATTAACTGACTGACATTGTTGAAGTGGGGAAATATTAGCTGCCTTAATTACTTTTTTCCTATGTTCCGCTTTTGGATAAATTTCCGTGATTGAAAGGCTGAGTAAATTGAAACGTAGGGCCCCTCTTCCTCTGTCACACTGACTTCCCTGCTCCATTCAGAATTAAAAATTCTGATGGACTGGCTCTAGTAGTTCTAACAGGAACAGAGCTTGATGATATCTTTGAAACTATATGCAGCAATCTCAAAAGATAATTGCTGGCACAACAGGATACTTGAGTGAAGCATTTACAAGACTTTTTTCTATCTTGTCTAGAGGTTTCTAGATTTCTCTCTATCTAAGCACTTACTAATAATCCACCATCTTGGAGATGCAAAATTCACCTTCTTTGCAGAAAACAAAGACTTAAATGAAGTCAAACCCATAAAGTCAAAGTTATTTGGGAATTTGGCCTGCCGAGCAGGAGAAGTCTTTAAATACCCATATTTTTATGTTTTCTTTTGTTCTCTTTGAGGTACACTCAGACTATTTCACGTAGCTAGAACAAACTTTAATGCCTTCTGCATATGTGGACTTATTGTAGCATATTAATCTCCCATTTGCAGCACTGATGGGACTGTTGTCCTGAGGCTTACATGATTAACTGCACCCAGCCACATATTTTATTTCTTACTCTGGTTGGTTGGATATTAATTTTCTCTTCTGTATAGGTATTGTATAAGAAATCAATTGTCTACCGCATAAAAACCATTAATGCTCCTATAAAAGGGGTTCCAGATGACCCCTTAAGGCCTGAAAGCCTTCATGCAGTTAATAACCCCTCTTATAGGTCCCCGCAGGCCAGTCACCAGCAATGAACCTTGAGCATGACTCTGGCACAGTAAGGTGGCAGCTGAACAGCTACCAACTGGAAAAAAAATCAGATGCAGTTCAGCCCATCTAAATTCTGTTTTGAAAAAGAGCATGTTTCAATAGAATAACAGACAAATCTAAACAAAGAGCCATCTAGGACTATTTGGAAAATGGGAGATGACTTTTGCTTTTTAACACTATTCTTATGCAGTCACGCTGTCTGTACATCTCTTTGCTAGATCCCCCCATAGCAGCTGAACACACTGGCTGTTCTGAATCAGCTTTGACAAGAGAAATGCATTCCTATGAGCTTTGTGGAAAAACTGCAGCTGAGCAAACAGACCCAAACAAGTTCCCTATCTTTGGAAAAAGCAGAGCGTTACTACACATTGTGGTTGCCACTGCCAACCTATTGCTGTGTGGGGGTCTTTAGACATGCCAGAGCATGACTGTGCCTCACCTGGTGGAAGAGGAGTGAGGCTACCACAATGGAGAGCCAGGCTCATGAGGATGAAGGACATACATCTGCAAAAAAAAACCCCACGCTTTAGATATGCTTCTTATAAAACCACACAGGCTTTATTCCTGTATTTTCTATATTCTTCCATATGCATGGAAGACTTTGCTCCCTATTGCAAGAGATTTGGTCAAACAAATGCACATTTGGCTTAATCCTGATTCCCTTTTCTGATTCTGCATTTACTGAGTCCATTTGGTGGACTTTTGTCTCACGCTGGTGCTCCTTTGAGCCTGTTAGACCTTCCCTGCCTCTGAAAGCTGTGAAGCCATTTTAACATATTTAGTAGCCCTCAACGATACTAACCAAATGAGAATACTCATGTCCCCTGCATTAACACTACCATACACTACAGGGGTAGTCATGCCATTTTCACAGTGGGCATTACCGCTAAGTACATGCTGGGAGTGCTGAATAGTATTCTCCACCTCGCTCTGCCTGGCTGCCTGTTCTTGGACTAGACTGTGAGTCTTTATAGACTTCGCAATGAATAAAGTCAAGCCAAGCATCAAAAAATGAGAAATATGACCCCACAAAGCCATACCTTCTTCATATGATCACATTTTCAGTCCTTTCAACAAGGTCATGTTTTCCATCCTTTTCATATTCTTTAAATGTTTAATGTAATCCTGGACCATGTCTTTAAGCTTTTCTCTGAAACCACAAGGGCATGATACCTTTATTGGCTAATGCTAATATAAAGGCTTAGTCATACTGTCCCAGACCCCATAAGAAAATGCTACCAAATCTAAAGAAATATTTTTTTTTTTTGTGGGAATCACAATGTCATTCCTTACTCAGTTCAGCAAGCCCAACAATATGCTTAATTTTTAAGAATCTTTCTAAACGATTTACAAACAATTCAGCTAGTGAAGCATCTGCAGCTTCTTTTGAAAACAGTCTTTACTGTGGAATCTTTCCTGATGCTCATCCTTTTTTTTTTTTTTTTTTGATTTCTCTTTAGTCATAATGGCTAGTATTTGCACCAGGCCATGTGCGCCCTGTAGTCCAGTCAGATCAGGAGACTTAGCAAAGTTCACAACATCACCTTCTCTGCAGTGTCAAAGGAAAAGCAGTGTGTTCAGCGGTGTCTGTGGACCAGGAATTGAAGGGGTACCTGCCCTGCAGTAGACGCAGCCAACTGAACTCTCTTGTGTCACACTAAGCAGTTTTTCCTACTTTGGTCTTCTCTTCAGAAGCCATATGTCTTTGCAAGCAACTCATTTCCTATTCAATATTCACTCAAAGTGAACAGGCCTAAAAAATGTAAGATGGACTTTTA